ATGCTACCTCTAGTTTAGCCAAACCTTTCCAAGGGAATAATAAAATTGAAACCGCAAATGGTGAAAAACTTGATATAGTTGGTACAGATAATCTTACATTATCTGTAGCATCTCAATCCTCCTTTCATTTGCCAAATATCTTTCTAGTACCCAAATTAACTACCAACTTAATTTCTGTTGGACAACTTGTTGATGATTTTGATCATGTTGTTTCTTTTTCTTGTTCTGGTTGTGTTATACAGGACCATCGCACTGGGATAGTGAAAGGGAAGGGGCGTAGGATTGGTTGCTTATTTGCCTTGGAATTTGACAAAGGACATAGTGATGCTGGTTTATTTGTTTCTTCTAATAAAGATGTCTCTAGTTCTCATAATCTTTGGCACTTATGGCATCGTAGACTTGGTCATCTCAATGTTAAGAGATTAGATACATTATTTACTTCTAGTCTTTTGAATAATAAAACTTTGCCATTGGATTCCATTGATAAATCTTGTATTAGTTGTTCTTTGAGTAAAAGTGCAAACTTACCTTTTCCAACTCATTCTTCAACTTCAACTAAACCTTTTGATTTGATACATAGTGATGTTTGGGGTCCTTCTCCTGTTTCATCTAGATTGGGATATAAGTATTTTGTTTTATTTATCGATGATTGCACAAGATTCACATGGATATATTTTATGTGACACAAATCTGAAGTGTTCTCTCATTTTAAGACCTTTTTGTCCATGATTAGAACACAATTTGATACTAATATAAAAATTATTCGTTCTAATTCTGGGGGTGAATATTTACTAAAAGAATTTCAAGAATTTTTGAAGGTTGAGGGTATTCAGTCTCAGAGGTCATGTCCTGCTACCCCACAGCAAAATGGTATTGTTGAAAGGAAAAATCGTCATATTTTAGGGATAGTTAGAACTTTGTTATCTAATTCTCATGCTCCTCCTAATTTTTGGGTTGAGGCTGCTTCTACGGCAGTTTATCTCATTAACCGTATTCCTTCTGAAGTATTGTATAACATCTCTCCATATTACTCCTTGCATAAATGCCATCCTGATTATTCTCGTTTACATGTTTTTGGTTGTGTGTGCTTTGTTCATTTACCACCTCATGAAAGGACAAAATTATCAAATCAAGCTGCCATGTGTGTTTTTGTTGGATATGGCATTGATCAAAAGGGTTTCTTGTGTTATGATCCAAAAATTGGTAGAATTCGCATTTCTAGACATGTGGTTTTCTTGGAAAATTTATTTTATTTTGATGCAATTGCAAAACCCAATAATTCCTCACCTTCTGTGTTGCATGACTTTTCACTTGATCATAATGCTCCAGCAGAACAAGTTTCCATTGATCAATTCCATGCAGCAAATGAACAACCTCAAACTTGTTCCTTTCACCAACCAGAAGATGGTACACCTGTGGATGCTCAATCAGTAAGTGATTCTAATCCTGCTTCTAATGCCTCTACTAATTCCATTGTTTCTTTACGTCGTTATGCCCGTACTATTCATCCACCTGATCGTCTTAACCTTTTTACCTCTGTCTCTTTGTTGACAACATTAGATTTTGTTGATATACCTCATTCTTACCAGGAGGCTATTAGCATTCCTTGCTGGAAGGAAGCTATGGATTCTGAATTAAGTGCCTTATTGGAGAATGACACTTGTGATATGGTACCTTGTCCTTCTAATGTGTCTATTATTGGTAGCAGGTGGGTCTTTTCTGTTAAGCTCAAAGCGGATGGTAGTATTGAGCGATATAAAGCAAGACTTGTTGCCCAAGGTTATAAGCAAGAGTATGGAATTGATTATATAGAAACATTTGCACCAGTGGCTAAAATGACTACAGTGAGATTACTTATTACTCTTTCGGCAATGCATCAGTGGCCTATTTCTCAAATGGATGTGAAGAATGCTTTTTTGCATGGGAATTTGAAAGAAACTGTTTATATGAAGCCTCCTCTAGGTTATTCACATTCTAAATCCATGGTTTGCAAATTAAAGAGATCATTATATGGTCTTAAGCAAGCTCCTCGAGCTTGGTTTGAACGCTTTCGTCAAGTTATTGTGGATGCTGGGTATGTTCAGAGTTCTCATGATTATTCATTGTTCATGCATAACTCTCCACAAGGTGTTACTCTACTTTTGATTTATGTCGACGATATGCTTATTACCGGTAGTAATAAGGAAGGTATTGCTAAGTTGAAAGAGTTACTTTGTCGTTCTTTTCAAATGAAAGATTTGGGGCCACTGACTTATTTTCTTGGTTTAGAAGTTCACTCATCTTCTCGAGGTTATGCGGTGAATCAACGTAAGTATGTTCTGGATTTGATCCAATTTGCAAATTTATCTGATGATAAGTGTGTTGACACTCCAATGGAAGTAAATGTCAAGCTTAGGTAGGAGGATGGTGAAAAACTCTCTAATCCTAGCTTTTATCGTCAACTTGTGGGTCGCCTCCTTTATCTTACTATGACTAGACCTGATATTGCTTATGTTGTGCAAGTGGTTAGTCAATTTGTTGCAGATCCTCGGCGGTTACATCTAATGGCTGTTCTTTGCATAATTCGATATCTTCGTGGCACTATTTCAAGGGGACTTTTCTTCTCCTCTCATCCTTGTATGCAATTGCAAGCTTATGCAGATGCTGATTGGGCAGGTTGTCTTGATACACGTCGCTCAACCACAGGTTGGTGTGTGTTTCTTGGTGATTCCCTTATTTCTTGGAAATGTAAGAAACAGAAAACAGTGTCCAAATCCACTGCTGAAGCTAAATACCGAGCAATGTCTTCAGCATGTAGTGAATTGACTTGGCTTCAAGGATTTTTATATACACTTACTTTTCCTACTCCTCCTTCACCCCTTTATGCTGATAATATGAGTGCTATTCGTATTGCATCCAATCCTGTCTTTCACGAGCGTACCAAGCACATTGAAGTGGATTGCCACTTTATACGAAATATGTATCTTGCAGGTGCCATTACTCTTCCTTATATTGCTTCTGAGCATCAAATTGCAGATATTTTTACAAAGGCAATGACAACTACACGACACAAGTTTTTAGTGAGCAAACTGACACTGGTTTCCCAGCCTCAGTTTAAGGGGGAGTGTAGGAAATAGGCATATTTTGTAATTTTGTTTTATATTAAGGGCTTTTATGTAACTTTACATTTTATATAACTTTACATTTTATATAACCTAATATTTATATGCTGCTAAGGGTGAGCAGCTCGGTAAGTTGTTTTGCACCCTCCACTTCCGCCTCACTTTACACAAGAGACCCACCCTTATTCATTGTTTCGTGTAATGTAATCCAATATAATCGAAACTACATTATATTTTTTCAAATATGTTTTTATGTGGAGAGTTATTTCCTTTTTTAGTGTACTTCAATTTAGACTTCGTTTAAAAATGCTTCACAATACTTTAACTTTTAGTTTTTATGCCTTTTTACTATTTTAAAAATATATAAAATGTTAATTAAAATAATATTAAATATATTAAATACTCTTTATATATTTTTGGGATGTTAAAAGATCAAATAACCTACCATTGCAGCCAAAGGTTAGTACCATCAAACTAAACCTTAGAATATAACTAGGATTTCTACTCCAACCCAAACTCCAATACTTGTAACCTAATATATATGTATTATTAGCAACCCTAGAGCATGGGGTGAGAGAGTGAAAAAACTAGAGTGTGGCGTAGTTACAACACAACCCCTATAGGGTGATGAGAGGGTTGCCTTCACTCTTTTTGAGTATCGAGATGGTAAGAATCCTCTATATAATTATAGTGTTGAGAAAGGCTTTTTTTAACCATGAGTGTCCAATGAGAGTTTCTTAGAGGCTATTAAGAGCTTCTAGGCATGTTAGAGAAAAATTCTTTGTGAGTGATTGAGGGGGAGTTCTTGAAAGAGATTAAGAATTCCTAGAAGAAATTGAAATTAGGCTTCTAATATTGTAACTTATTCTTAAGGATGATGATACATTTACCCTCCCATTACACACCCTCTCTTACACATGCTCACTCCATTACTTATTCTATTAATTCTGTTACTTATTTCATTAATTTTGTTACTTAATCCGTTAACTCTGAAAGCCACCAGCGCAACTTTCTCTTTCTCTTTCTCCTTTCCTTTCTGCTTCTTGCTGTTCCAATTGACGTTTTCTCCCTCTTAGACATGGAGTTGGGTTTGAAATATTGGAATTTTTAGGAGTTTTTAGGGAGAGAGAAAACAAATAGAACTTGAAATGTTGGAATTTTCATTGCCTAGGAATTTCGAGAAATTGAACAACTTGAAATTTTGTTTCTTGTTTGGAGTGATAGCCCTTTTTCAAGTCTGCAAACCCACACCTCCAACTTCCCTTTTTTATTATATCTTCTTTTACTTGTTACAACAAGATCAACTTCGGCATCGCAACGAGATCAAGCCAACGGCAACAATATCCAACCAGCAACTATGAGCGGTAGTGAGAAACATCCAGCGACCATAACCAACGGCAAGAAGCAACCAGTTTGCTTGAGATCCACGTTGCCAATGGCTCAAGATAGATCCGCAACCACAAAGCCGGCACCCACAGATCTGCTTTCCATCTTCGTAAACAAGAACCTTCAAAAAGAAATTAAACAGATTTTGAAGCATAATCAGACCTGCCATGCCGATCAAACATTTATTCCTCACAAGAAATCTTTGATTTTAGGCCTAAATTTCATCATCCCCCCACCGGTAGCCATAAATCCTCTTTACCCACAACCAAAAGATCCTCCCCTCTCCTTTCAAGTGAAACTTGACTGGAGTAAATAGGCGAACAAACTTGGTTCATGGCCGACTTGGAGAAAAACAGAATGGGTTGATTGGGTTAATCACCTAGAACCTCACTTTGGTAGAGTTTGGAGAAACATGGGTTCTCCAAGCTCTGAAAATGCCCCCAAGCTACTGGGTTCCTAAATCCTTATCTTCAACCTCTAAATCCTTTCATTTTCTCTCCCCTCCGCCAACACCAGATCTGGGTTCCTTTGCAAGTTCCCACTTGCTCAGCTTCATGCTATGTGTCGGTGAAACTGATGATGATGAATAAGAGGAAGATGAGGCTGCAGATGATTAGGATGAGGATGGAGGTGAGGAGGAAGTTGGATTTGCTGAGGACGGTGAACAGCAGTAAGGAGAAAGGAAAGAAGAGAGAAAGAAAGGCTGGGTTGGGTACCTATGGAGTTTAACGGCAGTAACGAATAGTGAATGAGGGTGTAAAAGAGTGTGTTAGTAGCATTTTCCTTAATGTTAACTTTTACATTTCATGATAAAACGGTACTTAAAAAACCCAAGGTTAAATTAGCTTCTTCTTTTTTAGTGCATTTTCACCCTTAAAAGACGTTTTGGCATATTATTTATTACTAAACTTTTATCCATGCTTCGCACAGTTCATTTGTATTTTTTTTAAAATTTTATTAATTATAAATTTTTATAATAATAATTAACTATATGTGTATGTATCTTATAGTAATTTTTTTTTTTTTGATATTAATCATTTTAAATGTATTAATTCAAAAAAAATGGCTCGTAAATATGAAAAAGGATTTAAACATACAAATTTAATCAATTTGATTTTAAAAAATAAAGACAAATATTCATAATTTGTGACCATATTAATAAATTATAAAAATATTTCAATTATCTCTATCTATTCTTTCTTTCTATATTAATATATTGTTTAATATTATTTATTCTCTCCCTTATCTTCTATTCCTTAATTACTTCGTATCTCTATCTATTCATATGCATATATTTTTCTCAAGTTTTTACATTAAGATCGTATCTCTTTCTATATTTTTCTATAAATCACTTTCAATTTTTTAGTTTGTTTTATATTATACACTTATATTATTGTTCTGCATTTTAATTAAAACTTAACTTAATGCATGTATCTTTTCCCTTTCAAAGTGAAAAAATTATTAAAAGTTGTAAGTATTTCAAATTATTCTACAAATTCCACTGCACCTCTTTTTTTTATTTTCTTTTGTTTGTTCATTTTTCTAAATAATAAATAAATTGCAGTTCTAATGCTATACGATTGAAAAAATTCAAGTGAAATCTTATAATAAAAAAATGCGAATAAAATTAATAAGAAATCAATTCTATTAAAGTTGAATTGTAGTATTTAATATATTAGATTTGAATACTCTTTAAATCCTAGCACCTAGCTATATGAACCCATTCAACTGTGCCTTTGTATCTAATCTGACATTTTTTCCTTTTGTCAAAGTTTTGAATTAGTTTGCCATGGAGGCTAATTCTTGGCCAAGGGAAGGGACCAAGAAAATAGTAAAAAGAAATATCTAACATGATATAGATTATACAAAACAGTAACGCTAATTAATTTACCATAAAAGAACCAAGCTTGATTGTAGCAAAATACACGTGAGAGTCCAACTAGTAGTATACAACTCCCGTGGATCAAATGTACAAATCTTTGTCAAAATGCATGTGAAGGTAGAAACAAATAATATTGGGTAAAATAAAATAAAATAAAATAAGGCACTAAAAGTTAGACTTTAATTCAAAGACAAAATCTAGTCAAATTTAAATACAAAATCTCTAAAAAAAAAAATACCTTAAGGTGAAAACAAACTTGATGAATGAAATTTTCTTTAGCTATTGCCATTATATTCTTCCTTTTGGTTCTCTTTTTCTATTTTTTGTCTTCTTTTTCTTTCTCCGGTGGCTGCATTTCTATCTCTATCTTTTTTTCATTTTTTTCGTCCATATATATATATATATATATATATAAAAGGAATAATCATAGTCCTAATGTTATATAATTGAAAAGCCCTTAATGTTATACAATTAAAAAGATATAAATGATATTTAATGTTATACAATTACAAAAATATGATATTTTAAAAAAAAGTATATTAAATATTTATTGATGATTTTTTAAAACCCATTGAGCATTTATCAATAACTGTTGAAACTCATCGGGTATTTATTAAAAATTTTTTAAAATTCAATAAGTATTTATTTATAAATTTTAAAAATAATTTTATTGTTATAATAGTCTTATATATAATTAAAATTAAAAAAAAAATTACTTTCTCCAAGTTTGTTGGGTTGAGAATGATGACTATGGTCAACAATCAAAGTATAAAAATAATGCAAAATTGATAAACTTATTATTCTAGTTATTAAATTGTTAAATAGATTTCTCATTTTTATGATATTTTTATAGTTACTAGTAAATGACAGTTACCATACTAACCGAATATAACCCTAGTAAAACCACCCGTAAAAAATTTCTTTCGAAATATTGAGGTTTTCCATAACCATCACTAAGCAGCTCGATCTTTTTATTTCAGCAAGTTCTCTCTCATTCTACCCCTTTTAACATACGGAACCATGAATTGCTATCAAACTATCAATAGTAACAATAAAAGGCAAAAAAAAAGAAATAAAGAAAAAAAAGAAGACATGCTTTGGGAATTGGCATCATGCATCTTGTGCATTGCCATTTCCTTCTCTTGTTTCTGCTATGAACCACTTGTTAACACGTCCGCGAGCTATCTCGACCTGAAAAGATAAGATTTTGCAAATAAATAAACAGCAAGAACACAAGAAATGAAAGACAAAATGCTGCTTTGGATGTTGGTTTTGGAATAAAGCTGAGTATACCTGTTTATCCCAGTCAGTTTTATAGGTGATAATGAGAAGAATAACAGTCTGAACAAATGTTCCAAACAACATTCCTACCCAAATACCCTGCAAAATTCAAGACAAATATAATTTTAGATTGATTTTCCTGGCGTACATGCACAAAACTAGTAACTGACAACAAACTTTATAGTTACTTTGAATGCAAGACTTCTAACATGGAGATTTCAAGTTCAAATATTAACAATAAATTAGAGGAAGACTATCTATTGTTGCACTTATGTAGTGCAATGTTATGTGCGGAAACAAAAAACTAAACAAAGAAATGAAAGGAACTCACTTTAACTTGCATACTGAATACATAACCAAGCACGACACCAACAGGAATCCCAATTAGGTAGTAGCAGGCTATGTTAACATAAGCTACAATGCTCTGCCAGCCAGCCCCAACAGCAACTCCTGTAGAGATCCCATGATTCATCAGAAGGGTGCAACCTATGGCATTGCTGATCTAAAGGGGTAACCAATGAATGGAAATTTACCGGATAGTACTGGCTGAACACTGTTTAGAAGTATGGAGAATGCCAACAAAGGAGATAAATCAGCAACTGCCATAGCCACTTCATGGCTTGTGGTGAATATATAAGCTAGATGTCCTCTAAGGCATAAGAACACAATGAATAGCACAAGTCCGATGCAAAATGATGTAAGAACTGTTATCACAACTGAAAACTTTGCAGCATTTGAGCTTCCTCTTCCAAGCTCATTTGACACCCTAACACTGAAGGTTTTTCAAAACAAAAAAAATGCAAAATCAGGAGAGAAATTGTAAATTTCCATCTTCTAGTAATAATTTTCTCTAGGGTACGCGTCATTATGCATTTTGAGTGAACAATGTATTTAAGACAGGGACAATGATTCATGCACCCACCGGTTCGACACCTGGTGGCTGCACACTACACAAACCAAATAATTTTAAGAGGAAAATTACAAATTTACTCTAAAGCCATCTTCTTCCCCACTAAACCCATTTCCCAAATAACAGCAAAAACAAATCATTTGAATCCCAACAAAACTCAATCAAGCATTCAAGCACCAAATCCATCCTTATCCTAAACATCTACAAGACAATTGGCAACCGTACTAGGTTTCCACCTTTGTCCTCTTTTTTTTTTTTCATTTTTTCCCCCGGGTTCTCCTGGAGAAACCCACATCTGGGTTACAGCAGAACCCAGACCAGGTTCTCGATGTGGGTTCTCTAGATGGAGAGAGAAAAAAAAAAAAAAAAAAGAGGAAGAAGATAATGAATTTGTTAGAAGAAGGAGATGGAGAGACAAGAAGAAAAAAGGTATTGTGAGGAAGATGACTTTTAAGTATAAATTTATAATTTTACCTTTATAATTATTTGGTTTTGTAAAATGTGCACAAGCTAGGTATTGAACTGGCGGGTGCATTTAAGCATTTACCTTAAGACATATATTGAAACTTCAGGGATGAAAATTAAGGACGTGGAATCGGAGGGAAGAATTGTCAACAAAAGGTACAGAGCATTTGCAAGTACAACAGATATTGATTTCATCATCAAGGGGAAGTTCGTTTTGTTCATATAAATCATCTTTGGTATAATTATTTCACAAACAGTAAATATACCTTGCTGCAGCTAAGAAACCAAGAGATAACATCATTTCCCAGCCATTAATATTCAGGCTGTCAACAAAGAGAAACTCATATTAGTTTGATACCATGTAATGGGAATAAAAGCTGAAGAAAAATGGAAGCTGTTAAAACAGCTTGTAAAATAGAAATTACCAGATAGCAAGAGCATCAATGGAAACCTCAGCATTTTTCAGGTTTCCTGTCAGAAGAACCAGGATTGTGTTGTACCAGATCTCAAGACTGCAAACAACAACAAAAGTTTTAACTTGAACACTTCAAAAATAACATAATAGTTCGGCGAAAATTCTCAACTCAATAACCCTGAGGGTCAATCATAATAATACTAGTTATGACTACAACATGATGATTTGAATGGACAGAATCAGAATAGGTCACACTCAAAAAGACTTCTAAGACTGTAAAGTATTGTTTAGCTTCAGGTCAAGTAAAATTCCTTGCTCTGTACTTGATTTAGTGTAGAAATATCCATAACTAAGCCTGTTCAAAAATCAAACAGAATCCCGTAAAATGGATGTAATTCAAAAACCATTTTAACAATCTCCATTATATATTTTAGCCTTTATTTGAGGACTATTCTTGGCTGTCTCTTTATTAGCTAGGAACCCAATTTTCACGGCTAGAAACCTTACCAAAGCATGGTGCCAGATGACAAAGAAAGCTTTATCACTGGCCAGAGATCCTTGAAAGCTAAAATTGAGAAACCTTTCCATGTTTCCTTACACCCGCCACACATAACAAACATTAGCTGACCCACATTCGGTATCCAATATGCTAAAATTGTCGAAGTCATTGCTCCTGTGAGTCCCAACTTGAATTTCACAGTCAGAAGCCATGAAAGAAAGAGATGAATAGCAAGAGTTAGAGCTGCCAAGTATGAAATAATCATGTTCTTGCTCTGTGATTGTAGGAATATTTGGCAGGTGAAGGATACAAGGAAGGCAAACAACACTGCAATAAACCAGTAAGAAATATCCCCTGCCACAGCCACAATGTTTGGATGCTGGCCAAGAGCTCTCATAATTGGGGCAGTGAAGATGAATAGAGGAAGAAGTAAGATTGCAGTAGCAAACAAAACTATCCATGATCGTTGAAGATAAATTCCGAGCATGTGATATTGTTTGGCTCCATATGCTTGACCACAAAGTGTTTCCAATGCAGTAGCCATACCTAACTGTAAATTAAAATTCAAAAACATATATAGCACCAATCTGGTAAAAGGCATGTTAGAACTAAGGGATTTGTAAAAAATTACCACCTAGGAGCCGCATACATGAATCGAACCTCCGTCAACAAGGTGGGAAGCAAACCCCCTTGCCAACCAAGCCAACTCTATTGAAAAAAGGCATCTTTGTTTGCAATATTAAAGAGCTTATAACTTGGTTTTCTCCTGATGGTTTATAAAAACTTAACCAATTTGTGCAAGTTTCAAAGCATAATTAAGGTTGTCATAATACAAGCACAAAACTCCTGATGAAAGCTGATCTGCAGCCTCCAATCTTCATCCTATAGCTAGTACCCTGAAGGACCATAGAAATAGACAAAGGCATGCCACTACCCAACCTAAAGAGAATTACTAACTCAAGAAGAAAACAAAAGCCAAGTACTTACCAACACTCCATTCCCAAATCTCACGAACACTGTTAACACAACTGAATAGGCAGCTAGCTCTGCAGGGCCAATGTGACCGATAAAGGCCTGACTGATGATAGTAACCCCAAATGTGGAAAATCTGGTGAAAATAGCGGGACCAGCAACTATCCACATCTTCTTGATCTCGTTCCATAACTTGTCTTTGAATTCCTCTTCCTCAGCGTCAGTATTCTCTGATGATAAAAGCTTCTCCTTCATATCTCCCTTCATTTTCATGAGCTGTATCAATCTCTTCTAGTAACTGTCACAGAAGTGCACATGACTTTGATGAGAGGGAAACTGGAAAATACGAGATATATTGAGCCTTAATGACAGAGAACAATTTTGTCTCTGCAATAAACCCCTTTTATTAGAATGTAGGACCAATTTCATGTACACAATTTTAACCTTTTCCATCAATTGTTGAATTTGTTAAGGGGAGAATATTCTCCTCTCGCTTACCTTCAATTTTTTTTTTTTTTTTTTTACAATGGAAGCCACGTTAGACAAACTAATTTAGAGTCGAGTCGCATCAAATCATGTAAGAGGACAAACTCTCTTAACACTTGTTTGTGCATTCACAAAACTCAAATTCAAGACTTTATTTAAAAGGAATCGAGCTCCTTTTACTCAGATCAATAAGTATTTGTTGGTAGATGACCTTCATTATTATATAATAGAGCATATCTCATATTGTATATTTATGTTAACTATTTAAATTACCTTCCTTATTTACTAAGATATTTTCTAATTTGAGTAAATGCAAGATTTAGTCCATAATATTTACCATAAATACTCGATATTGTCCTAACAAAATTTAATATACAAAGAATGAAGCTATATGTGGTTTAAAACTTGTTTGATATAATGATTAAAATTTAACAAATAACGAGTAGAGGGTAGTGAGTAGCAGATTGCAGGTAGTGAATAGTAGGTAACGGATAGTGAGTTTTGAATAGCAGGTAACAGATAACGGATAATAGGTAGTAAATAGTGATAGTAGGTAATGGATAGCAACTAACGGGTAGTAAGTAACAAATAACGAATAGCAAATAGTGGTAATAGATAGCAAATAACGGTTAGGAGATAGTGGGTGATAGATAGTGAAAAATAGATAGTAGATAGTAGATAACAAATTCGATCAATATAAATGTTTGATTATACAATAGTTAGTGATTGTTGTTCAACGTTAATTGACTAATAAAGATATATTTAAAAGCAATTAAATGCATTTTTTTCTTTTTATATTTTTATTACTAAAAATATTAATTTTATAAAAATAATAATAAAATAAATTATAATAATATAATTACACACTAATATATATTTTTAATAAAGAAAAAATTATATTAATTTTAAATAAAGTATAATTTTTTTGTCTAATTAGTGAATTTTGTTTATTAAGTTAATACATTTTTTATGATAAATTAATACAAAAATAAAAATATAATAATCATTTAATATTATTAAAAAAACAGAGTTGAAACTAATTAAATAAGTAATAATTAAAAATCATGACCAAAAATTAAAAATTAAAATGGATGAATTCGTTATTAAAATTAAAAAAATTCTAATTTACTAGTGATTTAATGCAAAAAGCTACTTTAGATATCTTTTTCAATCTACTATAAGTTTGGACTTTAACTACTATCTATTAGTCCTCAACTGTTAAATAAACAATTTTACTAAACACTTACTTTGTAGTTTCAAAATAAATAAATTTACTAAACATCTATTTTTAATAATTTAGATAAAACTAACTAATTGTTACCCTCAAACCCCTATACCAATGAAGACTTTAGTTAGTAATGGGGTTAGTTTCCAACTTTGAAAGGTAAGATTCGATTATCTAGGAAGGCTAACAAGAAAATAATTTTTCATAAATTCTTTAATTTTAACTTGAATAGCCTACTTTTAACCAAATTAAACAGAGGTTAATTTTAAAACATACACAAACTAATCCAAAAACACCCTGATCATAATTCGAGAGATAGGGTATTCGCTATGCAAGTTTACAAAACAATAAGAATTCCTCAGGAAACTATTCTCTGGCACCCACCAAATAGGGAGTTAGATGGCCGTTTGGTTGTGTTAGTCCTATCTTGGGAAGTATTTGTGGTTATTTTAATATTTATATACATGCAATGCAATGTAGTTGGGCATTCATGGTGAGCCGAATGAATCATCTTTTTCACAAAAGGTAAATCTTTGCCCGCTAGGTAAGATGTAGTACTATACTAGCTTAAATGTTAATTTTAGTTTATTGACTTTAAAGTTTTGTATAATATTTTTTTTGTCTATCAATTACTAAAATGTATTTTTTTTCATCTTTTTATCAATTAATTTATTAAATTTATTTATATATACATATTTATATTCTTTGAATTTGTAAATTTAAAAACTAAAAATGTGTATATTTAGATAAACAAAACAAACTAACCAACGAATGAACAAAAAATATGCATTTTGCATGATTGAAGAACAAAAAGAGTGTAAAAAAAGGTTGAGAAAAAAAAAATCACTACTAAAAAACAATATTCAATCGATAAACAAAATTTTCATTTATAATGAAAATTTTATCAATTATACACATAACTAATAGATATGATTAACAGCCAAAACTATCAAATATATGGGCATCAAAAACAAATATAATTGATAGAAATATTTTATGTCAACTATAGTGGATTTAATCGATAGCTAAGGCCTGTTGATTATATTTAATAATTATATATTATTTATAATAAATAGAATTGGTTAACAATTGTATTGATCATTGAAAAACATTTCTGTTAATTTTATATGTATAATCAACAACCATATAATTTATCAATTATAATTTTAAAATTTATAAAAATATAATCGACAATTATTTCTTTCAATTATATATGTATAATCAACAAAAATGACTGATGATTATGTTATTTTCAAACAAAAAAATTAAATGTAATTTTGTCTATAGTTATTTAAATAAATTACAAAATATTAACCAAAATACATGTTAAACACTCATGTATCACAATAATATATATGTATATATATAGATAAATCTATAAAAACTAATTGAAAACTAAAATATTATACAAGTATTATTAGAATAATGAAAAAAAAAAGGTGACAAATAATTTAACTATAATGAGATAATTTGAGTATAAATGAAATACCCCAAAAATTTCTAGAAACATTTAAGTATGAGCTAGGGACCTAATTGTGAGAAAATAATATTGTTGAGCTTAATCATAAAGTTTTCAAACTTGAGGGACTTAAAAGAGAAAAGAATTAGGATAAGGATCACCTGATTTTTTTTCCTTCTTTCTTTCTTCCTCAGCCGCGTGTTTCTGCTCTTCTTCTTCTCCCCTAAAGCCGAACAAGAAGCCAAGCCCGACAACACCCACCCCTTGAGAAACGGTAAAAAGCTTGATTTCTTTCCCTTCTTTTCTTGTTCAAGAACAAGATTTAGAACTTAGAAATCTTCCCCTCTGTAGCAAATTTCCAGATCTGCCTTGTTCTGTCCCCTCCGTCTGTTGCTCTGCTGTGTGAGTGTGATTTTTTCAAGTTTCTGGTAAGGGAAACAACCACTAATTCCTCTTTTCTCCTTTGATTTGGCTTGGGTTTACTCTAATTTCTTTTGGTTTCTCCCAATTTCCGGTAGATCCCCAAAATTTCTCCTGCACTTTCCCCCGGCTTCCCCCAACCCGCCAGCTCTGGTTTGCTTGCTGAATTTTCTGGTATGTGACAGCTCCATCTAAGTCCCACATTACCCATTAGTTGCTGAATTTAGTCCAGTTAATTGCTGCCCCTATGCTGTCTGAATTTCTGCCGAAATAGGGGATAAATTCCAGTAGCAATTAGGATAAAATTAAGCTTAATTCATGTAGAATTTATGTGATTGGGTATTAATTGGCTGCTGTTAGGTTCTAGAGAAAAATCCCGTGAAATTAGCTTTTGTTTTGCCAAGGCTGGTTCCTCCATGTTGTCCATGAAATTGGAGAACTTTGTATGTGTGTTTATGTATATATATATAAATGCACAATCTAGTTTTTGTGCTCAAATTTCGGATAGAAGAAAAATAAAGATAAATAAATAAAGAAATAAGATTTCTTATGGGATTTATGGCTGGCAACAATAGAAAGGTTTAAATGTTTAGTTATATTGAGAATAAAATTGAGATGTCCGGTCATATGGTTATTAATTCTGGAATATTTTGGTTAGGTTCTTGATTATTCTGCCACCCTTAGCACTTGGAGTGAATGTTTTGTGTTATGCGATTGAGGTAAGTAAATTGTGGTAACACCCTTTGATTTCAAAGTAAAAGCATATTTTAAATTGTTTTTGAGATGGTGGCAAGGTTTAAATTGATTTTATTAACACTTGAGCATGATTAGAATGGAAATGAAAATTTTTATTATTTTTGCGGTTGAACATGCCCAGATGGAATTTTCTGGTTTATTCTTGAAATTCGAGATTGATTGTGAATTACAGATTTTCCTGTAAATCCTACATGGTTTTGTCTCTAATATAGTCATGATTACTGATTATTGACACTCGTTAATGGGAGTTGTAAACGCTAGCACATGTCGACATGTATACCGATAGGACAAGTTTATTCTGTAATCTTGCCAATGGGATAATACATTGGTTATTATTGAAACTGACGCCTGCTAGTGGGAGTTGTTAAACACTGGCCATAACTTATAGATGAGACTACTACTGAATCTTCTTTTGCATTAACGGTTTATCATTGAACGCTTTGTTATTGACTTGCAGATGAGACAACTACTGAATCTTATTCTGCATTAACGGTTTATCACTGAATGTTTAGTTATGTTAAATTGTTTATCAGGCATGCTTAAATTTTACTCATGGGCTATCCATATTTTTACTTACTAACATATCTTATCTTATAGTGTCCCTTGTCCACCATTTTAGGGAGTAAGACCCAAAGCACAATTAACCAAGGGGAGTGATGAGCTAGAAAGCTAGTCAGTATTTTGGACTTAGATCCTTTTTGGGCTTAGGCCGTTAGCCACACATGCTTGTCATAGATGTGAAATAATAAATCATTTTCTTTGTATATTAAGTTTCCTTGGTTATAGCAATGACTGTCTTATAAACTTTTGTACATCTGGACTAGTAAAGTTTTGGTAATTGAAAGCTTGATATTAACCAAGTTTTTAGATTTAAGTTATGTAATTGGTAATTATGAACATAGTAAGTTCTGAGTCTTGTGTATTTGTGGGACTCGTTCACGAGTGCACGGCGTCTGTTTCGCTCCTGGTTTTAGGGCGTGACAGGTTTTGTGGTATCAGAGCTTAGGTTTAAATTAAATACCTAGGATTTGTTTAGGACTTGGCTAGCCAATGGATTATTGGAATGTGGTGAAGCATGAGAGTGGGGTTGATTAAGGGCACTTGTTTGATTCTTTCTTTAATGTGTGTTGGATTTTAATTATTAGGTTTTTGGTCCCAGAAGTGGAAACTTGCCAGGAAATTCTAATTTGGGGCACTTGATTAATAGTCTATGAACCTTCTATGTGGTTATAGATGGCTCCAAAATGGCATGGGTGCTCGAGGGGTGGCCATAAGGATCAAGGCACTCCTCCAATACCAACTGCTAGCCCCTCTGCCCAAGCTGCTCCTCAAGAGGGAGGGATGAGTAACCCTCAAATGGTCATTTTTGTTCAGGCATTTATGGCAAAGATGAGATGCCAAGTATCTTCTACCGCGAGTGTGCCACCTCAATCCCTAGTGGTTTCCACTCCTACGGCCCCTGCTCCTATTTTTCCTGCTCTTATATCTTCTGCTCCTGCTGTGCCTAGCTGGAAGGTCTATACAAAATTCTAGAAGGTGGTGACCAAGAAATTTGATGGTACCATGGGTTTTGAGCAGGTGGGGTCATGGATTACTGAGGTGGAGAGGGGATTTCGCCTACTGAAGATCTTTGATGACCTTAAGGTCGATGTGGGCAGTTATATGCTTACAGGTGAAGCATTGACTTGGTGGGAGAGTTACTTGAAGCTACACCAAGGAGAGCCTGAATTGAGCACCTGGGATGGTTTTAAAAACGTGTTCATGTGAGAGTACATACCCAATAGCAAAAGGCGTGAGCTACAAAGGGAATTGCATATCTTAAACGAAGGTCACATATTGTAGAGCAGTACAAGAAGAAGTTTGACCGCTATCTGCCTTTTGTGGGTAGTCAAGTTGGGGATGAGCAAGCCAAAACTGATAGATTTTTATGGGGCTTGAATCTTGACATTTATCTCGTGGTGAATCAATTCAAACCCGCCACTTATAAAGAGGCGGTGGATAGAGCCATAGATCAGGAGAAGGCTATGGCTAGAGTCAAGACACCAGATCCGTAAAAAGTTGGGTTGTCCCTTGGCAAGAGAAAATTTGATGGAAGCCGTAGATCCTTTATCCCTGCACCGCCTAAGTTTGATATTGGCAAGGGTTTTAAAGAGCTAAGGGTTGCCAAGACTGTGGGTTAGGCATCAGCAGCCCAGCGTACTCATCCTGCTCCACCTATTTGCCCCACTTGTGGAAGAGTTGGGCACACTCGCAACCAATGTCACATTAATACTGGGGCTTGCTTCAGATGTGGCAAGCAGGGACATCGAGTTGCTAATTGCCCGCAGTCGGACCCCAGAGCTTAGAGTACTCAATTTACATCTCAGCAAGGTTCTATTAATCAGGGGACACAGAAACAGAATGTCGGGGTTAAGATAAGAGCCCAACAGGCGAGAGTGCACGTGATGACTCACAAGGAAGTTGCGGCTACCGACGTAATCACGAGTACTTTACCTATCAATTCTGATTATGCATATGTTTTATTTGATTCAGGTGCATCACACTCTTTTATAGCTTGATCTTATGCTTTGAAACGAGCCTTACCTATTGATACCTCCAATTTTCAATTGCATGTGAACACCTCTTTAAAAGGGGTGATGACTATTAGATATGTGTGTAGGATTGTAGATATTTATATTGATGGTAGACAATTGAGTGCTAGCCTATTTGTTTTAACTCTGATTTTGACATTATTTTGGGGATGAATTGGCTATCAAAATATTTTGCCTCTATAGACTGCAACCGTAAATGGGAGATTTTTAATATTCTTAGGGAACCAGAATTTAGTTTCCAAGGCAGTGATTCCTTTGCTCCACCCATGCTGATATCGGCCTTGCAGACTAAAAAATATCTTATAAATGGTTGCCAGGGTTTCTTAGTTTATGTCACTGATGCTAGTAGTGTGACGTTGAGACTAGAAGACATCTCTATGGTGTGTGAGTTTCTAGATGTATTTCCGAAGGATCTCTAAGGTTTACCTCCAGATAGGAAGATTGAATTTGCTATTGATCTTGTTCCTGGCACCGGATCTATTTCCAAAGCCTCGTACCGTATGGCCCCTGTGGAGTTGAAGGAATTAAAGGTCCAGTTGGAGGAACTCCTTGAGAAAGGGTTTATACGACCTAGTGTGTCACCTTAGGGAGCTCCAGTATTGTTTGTTAAAAAGAAGGATGGGAGCATGAGACTATGCATAGATTACCGAGAACTGAATAAGGTGACTGTGAAGAACTGATATCCACTTCCTAGAATTGATGACTTGTTTGATTAGCTTAAGGGTGCCCAAGTGTTTTCTAAGATTGATCTCCGATCTGGCTACCATCAGCTGAAGATTAAACCTGATGATGTGCCAAAGACTGCTTTCCGTACCCGCTGTGGTCACTATGAATTCTTGGTTATGCCTTTTGGCTTAACAAATGCCCCTACAAGATTTATGGATTTGATGAATCGGGTATTTAGCAAGTACCTAGATAAGTTTGTGGTTGTCTTTATTGATGACATTTTGATTTACTCTTCTAGCCATGCTCTTCATGAAAAGCAATTAAGGACAGTTCTCGAGACATTGAGAAGTGAGAGGCTGTTTACTAAATTTAAGAAGTGTGAAGTTTGGCTAGATAATGTTGCATTCCTAGGTCACGTTGTGACTAAGGATGGAATCTCCATTGACCCCCAAAAGATTGAGGCCGTGGTGGATTGCAAAAGGCCGAATAGTGTTGCAGAAGTCCGTAGCTTTCTTGGATTGGTTGGTTATTACCACCGATTTGTGGGGGATTTCTCTAGAATTGCTCTGCCAATGACCCGTCTGATCAGGAAGGACACCAAATTTGAGTGGATTCCAGAGTGTGAGAAAAGCTTTTTGACCCTTAAAGAGAAACTGGTCACTGCTCCTGGACTCGCACTTCCCATCAATGGGGAAGGATTCACTATATATAGTGATGCTTCTAAAAAGGGTTTAGGATGTGTCTTGATGCAAAAAGATAAGGTTATTACATATGCTTCACAGTAGTTAATGCCTTATGAAGAAAATTACCCTACCCATGATCTGGAGTTGGCAGCTGCGATATTTGCACTCAAGATCTGGAGGCATTATCTATATGGTGAGACTTGTGAAATTTTCACCGATCACAAGAGTCTCAAGTATATTTTCACTCAAAATGAGCTTAACATGAGGCAGAGGCAATGGCTTGAACTTTTAAAAGATTATGACTTGACCATTAGCTACCATCCAAGCAAAGCCAATAAAGTAGCAGATGTGTTGAGTAAAAAGTCCTCTAGCACTACCTTTAGCATCCTTGCCACCCAGAAAGAGTCTTAAAGACCTTGTGAAACTGGATGTGGAGTCGAGAGTGGACAGTACTACAGCTTATCTAGCTGCTCTCAGTGCACAACCGACATTAATTGATAGAATTAAAGTTGCCCAACAAAAATATCCCTTATTGCAAAGGTTGAAGGAAAAAGTAAAGACGAGGGAACCCCACATGCAAGCATTCAGAGTTTCTGACGATGAGATTCTGTTGGTGGTGACAGGCTGTGTGTGCCAAGAGATCATGCTTTAAGGCATGAGATCATGGGAGATGCCCATAATATTAGTTACACAGTTCACCCAGGTAGCACCAAGATGTATCGTGACTTGCATAGTACATTTGGGTGGTGGAATATGAAGAGGGAGATAGTTAGATTTGTCTCATAATGCCTGACTTGCCAGAAAGTCAAGGTTGAACACCAACGACTTCTTGGGAAGTTGCAGCTATTACCTATTCCCCAATGGAAGTGGGAGAATATCACCATGGACTTTGTGACGAGTTTGCCGTGAACCTTAAAAGGAAATGATTCCATCTAGGTCATCGTTGATCGATTGACCAAGTCGGCACATTTCTTACCTTACCGGACTGGCGCATCCATTGAGAAGCTTGCCAATATGTACATGAATGAGATAGTCAAGCTGCATGGAGTCCCTATGTCTATTGTGTCAGATAGAGATACAAGATTCTTATCTCATTTCTGAACAAGTTTGCAGTAGGCACTTGGTACTCAATTACATTTCAGCATGGCCTTCCATCCTCAAATTGATGGGCAATCTAAAAGAACTATTTAGATACTTGAGGACATGTTGAGGGCTTGCGTTTTAGATTGGAAAGGTTCATGGGATCAGCATTTATCCATGGCTGAATTTGCCTATAATAATAGTTACCAATCCAACATCCGCATGGCACCGTTTGAGGCTTTGTATGGTCAAAGGTGTAGATCACCTATTTGCTGGGCAGAGGTAGGCGAGAGAAGCATTCTGGGCCCAGAATTGGTGCAACAGTCTTCTAAGATTGTGCAATTGATCAAGGAATGCCTTCGTGCTACATAAAGCAGGCAGAAAAGCTATGCAGATAGAAGGAGACAAGACCTTGAGTTTGAAGTCGGTGACCATGTATTTTTGAATGTGTCACCCACTCGAGATGTCCTCAGGTTTAGCATCCAGGGAAAATTGAGTCTGAGGTATATTGGATCATATCTTATCCTGCAAAGGGTTGGCGAGGTAGCTTACCAATTGAAGTTGCTTGGAAATTTAGCGAGTGTTCATGATGTGTTCCATGTGTCTTTACTTCGGAAGTATATTCCCGACTTGAGCCACATCATTGATCCCGAACCCATTCAGCTTCGAGAAGGTCTCACTTATGATGAGCACCCGATCCGTATTTTAGATTTTAAGGAGAGGGTAATGCGAAGAAGGACTATTCGTTTTGTTAAGGTCCTCTGAGATAACCATTTGGTTGAAGAAGTTACTTGGGAGTTGGAATCCAAGATGAGGCAGGAACATCCACACCTCTTCCAAGATTGATGTATGAGTTTAAGGAACTAAACTCCTTTTTAGGAGGGGTGGATGTAATACCCCAAAAATTTCTAGAAACATTTAAGTATGAGCTAGGGACTTAATTGTGAGAAAATAATATTGCTAACCTTAATCATAAAGTTTTCAAACTTGAGGGACTTAAAAGAGAAAAGAATTAGGATAAGGATCACCTGATTTTTTTTCCTTCTTTCTTTCTTCCTCAGCCGCGTGTTTCTGCTCTTCTTCTTCTCCTCTGCAACCGAACAAGAAGCCAAGCCAGACAACACCCACCTCTTGAGAAACGGTAAAAAGCTTGATTTCTTTCCCTTCTTTTCTTGTTCAAGAACAAGATTTAGAACTTAGAAATCTTCCCCTCTGTAAAAAATTTCAGATCTGCCTTGTTCTTTCCCCTCCGTCCGCTGCTTTGCTGTGTGGGTGTGATTTTTTCAGGTTTCTGGTAAGGGAAACAGCCACTAATTCCTCTTTTCTCCTTTGATTTGGCTTGGGTTTACTATAATTTCTTTTGGTTTCTCCCAATTTTCAATAGATCCCCAAAATTTCTCATACACTTCCCCTCGGTTTCCCCCAACCCGCCAGCTCCGATTTGCTTGCTGAATTTTCTGGTATGTGACAGCTTCATCTAAGTCCCAAATTACCCATTAGTTGCTGAATTTAGTCTAGTTAATTGCTGCCCTTGTGCTGTCCGAATTTCTGCTAAAATAGGGGATAAATTTCGATAGCAATTAGGACAAAATTAAGCTTAATTCATGTAGAATTTATGTGATTTGGTATTAATTAGCTGCTGTGAGGTTCTAGAGAAAAATCCCGTGACATTAGCTATCGTTTTGCCAAGGCCGGTTCCTCCATATTGTCCGTGAAATTGGAGAATTTTGTATATGTGTGTTTTTTTTTTTTTTTT